TGATTTTATCAAGATTTACATTCATTCGAAGACTAATTTGGTAGTGATATATCTTTCTACAATCTATAATCACATTCTACTCAGTCATCACTTTAACAAATCCATCATTATCCTCTTAAAACTTATAATCAAATAAGAAAAAATAACTCTTGAAAAAATGTAAATTTTTTCTTGTCAAAAGGTTTCTATTTTGTATTATTTAGATGAACGATTTATTTCGACTTACTCGAAAATACTCAAATAATTGTGTAGATGTTATCTGTTCTCCATTAATTTCTTTGACAAAATTTATATTATCCGATCGAAAAAGTTCAGGTATAAATGCTTGTAATTGTGTTTTAAAATCTCTTTCAATATCTATATCAAAAAGAAAATCAATAAAATTCAATTAGAAAAAAACCTTATTTTAAACCTTCTAATCTGCCATCAAAATCACGTCGATTTGTAACTTTAAGACCAGGATGTGGCATTAAAAAGCAATTTACTTTACGAAAACATTGACGTAAACGAGAACGTACAAGTTCAAGGTCATGATGTTGATTTGGTCGAATCTTATTTCAATTAAATAAATTAAAATTCTCTTTTCTCTTTGTATGTTTTTTTTTACTTGTAAACGTTTTGTTAAAATTTCTTCTCCACCTTCAAAACCATATGGTGTTTCATATTCAAATTGCCAATCACGTACAAGAAATGTTAATTGCTAGAAAAATATCAACATATTTCTTTATCATATTATGAAGAAGAAGAAAAAAGAAATTTATAAACCTGAAATGGTGATGTATGATAAGCATCAATTGCTAAAACCCCATATTCAGCAAAAAAGGATAGATGTTGTAAATTATCTTCTTGTAAATTATGCATTATATTATAAACAGTTACACTACTAACAAGTAATGTTAAGGCAAATATAAATGCATTTTCAAATACAGTTGAATTTGAATCAAATGTTCCTTGAGTATCCATAAGAAGAACTGCTATCTGAAAAAGTGATATATATTTGAATTGTTATACGAAATCAAAAAAAAAGCAAAATTCTTACTTCTTCACCATTTGGTAATGACATAAGAAATGGTTCGCTCCACATAATCATTCCAGTTGTATGACGACCGGCACCTCCACGCCAATCGAATCCTTTTAATGGTTCATTATCTCTACCTATCCAATCTTTAGGATTCTAAAATAAAATTCATTGTTTATTTACATTGAGTCTTTTGTTTTAATCATGTTTACTTTAGCTCGTAAATAACGAAGAAAAAAATCAAGCATAAATGACTTTCCCTTACGAAAATCTCCAGCTATAGATACAAGGGCAATCTAGTATAGATATAGAAAATACAAATATAATTTAAAAAATAAATTTTTGTTCTTTTACTTTTTTTCCTTGTGTTCGTCTATGATATAGGATTTCTTTTAATTTTTTTTCATCAAGTACAAATTTATGATCTTCTGTTATTGATACAATTTGTACAGGACCTGCTGTTGATGATTGTTCCATGAGTAATAATTTTAATTCCTAGTAAATCTATAAATATGATATACATATATATAAGCAATAAACAAAGGAACCGAGGTTAAGTTAGACAAATATTCAGCGTCGTATTACTACAGTGAAAGAACATATTATTCAATTGTCATTGCAGAAATTTGCACGAACGCACAGAAGGATTGGTAGAGAGGGCGCTGGACAACAGTGCATTGAAGAAAGTTCTATAGGCCTTCCATTATCATCGCTTCTTTGCGTAAAACATTGCACAAACTATCTGTTCGATATTAGTAAGGAGAAAAACATTCATATAATGGTTTAATACGAATTTTCTTTATTTGTTGCTTTTTAGATTGACATATCAACAGTTATAATGATCTCAGAAATACGATAGGATAAAATATTTGCTATTTTGATTTTATAGATGAAATTCATTCATTGAATTATAATTATTTTCGAAAGATACCGATTTTTTTTTAACTTTGTTTGTTTGTTATTGAATTCCAGCATGTGTCAAATGAAAATAGTCACAAATTCAGCTGCCAGAATCATTGGTACTAGATCATAATTAATCAATTGAATATTCCTAAAGAAAAGATAAGGAATTAACTCTTGCATTGTAAAACCTCTTCGTATTCCTGTACTAGCTTACCCTAAGATTGCCTGATTTTGACAGATGTCACCATGAAATTTTACTCAGTGTGTTTCAGCATACTTTATTAATTTTACATATTTCAAGTTTCATAAGAATGAAATGTTATTAAAAATGTTGTTGCTGAATGTTGCTTTTTTTCTTTCACAATTCCTCCACTCGTACTGAAACTATATTCTAAAAACTCTTGGCAATATGAACAACATCCTAATTCTACCCTATCTTTAAGGATAGGAACCTGGTAGAGAGTTTATCAATATTCGCAGATAATGCATTTTAATCTATCGTGATCCATTTTACAAGATCAATGAAATAATCAACCATCTCTATTTCTGTTGTATGAAATTACAAAGATATAGATGTGATATAACAGATGAACGGCATTATAATTGCTACTACAGGCACTGGTATCAAATTTTTTTAGCACATGAATGAAATTCATTGTGATAAAAGAATAAACTACATGAGAAATAGTTTACTTATTATTTTACAACTGAATGAAAGAATACTCAAGCTGTTTTCTTCTCTCGGTTCGGTTTACTGACATGTTTATCATTCTAATGATGGTACGAGTGTGGTTAATTTTTTCCAAGTCAATAATCTGTCATTTTCAATGATATTCTTTCATTATTTCAACCATCATCAGAAGTATTCAAATAATTGACACTAAAGACTCGTCATATTATATTTTCTTGATATTTCTTCTAGATAGTATTCATTGATAAGATTAAAAATCTCAAAATAAAATTGATATTTTTTCCGCATAACTATAAATGCAATTAGTCGATACCCTTTTATTCTTAATTTATACATGAAATAATAAATAATTTATGCTCAAGGAGAAGATAATCTTTACACAAACAAACTCGCTTTATTTAAATCTACTTTCGACAAAATTTCATGTTTTACTGTATTATTAAAACTAATTCGACAGGATATAACTCACCTGATATTAAATTATTTTTAATCCTTTAATAGTCGGCTCTCTACCTTAACCTTTATGTTCTTTTCATCTTTGATCTTCGTTTAACTCATAATATTTTGACCAACATTCGATGTCGAAGTTCCATGCTTAATATCTTATTTCATTATGAACAACAAGTTGATGTTCAGTAACATCAACAAATTCTTTTATAGTTTTAGTTTTCATTGTTTTTTTTTTGTTATGGTTAAAAACTTTCATATTTTTTAGCTAATTTATCCTATCATTTCTTTTATTCTATCACATATGAATATATCTCTACACGGTCGCTTATATCTTTACTGGAGATGCTTTGAGGAAGTTCTTATGAAAATTTCAGATACGCTAAGTCTAGCTCATCAGTGTGTCTCTTACAAGTCATACGCATGTGACAACTAGAAAAGCTTTTGTTATCAGTTTTTTGTTTAAATGATAAAAAATCTTGTTTTCTCAAAAAGTCTAGAATGCGTTGTATTTTTACATAGAAACATTAAGAAATGTTTTAGGGTACCATATTCGTCCAAACAGCCCACTATATATAACTCCCAGGTCACAAAAATCACACTGATGAGTGTCGGTACATTTTTTTTGTCATGTCTGCTTGTATGAATACAAACAGTACAGTAACTTTGTGTATTCTTTCTTGATGCCGTTGCGAGGCCTAGAATTGGGAAATGACGTACAACGAGACGGATAGAATAATAAGAAACTATTTGATCTTTTGAGAATGTATATCCGAAGATAGAAATCTTTTTTCGTTTCGAATCAACAGTTTTATTTATATGAGATGTAGTACAAAAAGAGAAAAGAGCGAGAAATGCCTTCAAATATATTAGAATGACACAGAAGGTCAAGACATATAGACAGAATGCAGAAGAGGGCGTATATATACATATAGTGGGTGTCAGATGATGACGCAATAATGTTGCCGAGATAAGGGCAAAAGACAGCTGTCTTTTGAGTCGAACTAGCAGAAAATCATAACGACATCAATATGGTCAAAATACCAGCCTGTATATATACGAACCCCGTAGTGACAGGTTTAAGTCGGCGAGTATATGTTCAAATTGATATGAGATTAGATTGTTTAGTGAACGATATGTTCATGTTTTTGAGCTTTGGTTTTGTTCTCGATTATGTTATCATTCTTTATTTGCTTTCTACGTTCATGATTTGAACTATCTCATATATGATCTTGTGCTGTTTTTCGTACACGTCGTCTTTGGTACTAACTCAATATGATGTACTTGGTTTTTTTTATCTCTTTACTAAGCAGACAACGGAATTCAATGTAATTAAAGCATATAATTAAAAAATCTTCGTAGATGTTACTATAATTTTTTCTGTCATTTTTATTGAGTTGTGTTCTCTGTACTAAATTGTAATAGATTGGCATCTATTTTTATTTTATTCATTTAAACCTTGTCATATCTTAAGTCAGACACACAGATAGCCAATCCTACTCGACTTCTACTGATAACAGAAGAAGAATAAAAACATAGTAGCTCTATGGCAAGTCATAAATAATTACAAAAAAAGAAAGTATGCGCTTGTCAACGATCATATCCAAAACACGAACAATTTCAAATCGTCAATGTCGACAATCATCTGTGTCACCAAACAATACTCTTAATCGACTATCAACAATATCTTCGACAGATGAAGGTTGTCGCTTATTGTGTGAAATTTCAAATGAAGAAAATAAACTTCTTCAATATATAAAAGAAATTCTTGAAGAGAGACTTACTTTGGATAAACAATATGCTCAAAATCTTCAAGAATTAGCAGCTAAAGCTGATCGTATTGCATGCCTCACCACAGCAAATTCAATGGCTTCTGTAAAATAAAAACTAAATTTATTGTTATCTTTTTTTAATAAGTTTTATCATAATTTAAAAGATGTGTCATAAATATTTAATGCAATGGTCTCAACGAGCATCAACTATTGATTCAAATATTGACCAATTTCGATATGAAGTACTCGATATTTTACTTAAAAATCTTCTTGAACAAAAAACTGATTTAAAAAAAATTTTCGAAGATGAAAAACGTCAATATGAAGATGAACATCAAAAAGTAAATATATTTTTTTGCTTTTATTTATATTTGATTATTTATTTAAGTAAAAATTATAAATAAATATAATATTTATGGGGTAAGTTGTATGTTTATAAAACACAGTAAAATGTGGTTATTTAGGCATCGGAAAGGTACTTATTTACTTCTTATTTAAGCGTATGACTTTTTTTTCTAGGCTCAAAATAATGTAACTGAAGCTGAAAAACATTATTCGAATGCATGCAAACTATATGTTGCAAAGAATAATGAACTAACAAAATTCACTGCTTGTAAGTTATTGAATTGATTTTCCAATCGATAGATTGCAAAAGCATGATGAGTTTAAAAAAAAGTTATTCATGTCTGATTTTCTTTCGTTAATAAGATAATGAAAAAAATATGTATTTAGATTATTAATCATTGATGTTGAAAAATTAGTGTGATTCCAAGAAAATGTATTATTTTACATAATAAAGTGTAACATTTTTATTGTTACTATTCGATATAGATGTAATAGTAATGATAAGAATATATAGTTTCAAAGATAGGACAAAAACAAGCTATCGATAGTGTGTTATCAAACAATTATCAAGAATGACATTGAAAACTAAGTAATAATGATCAATTTTTTGTCATTATGGCAGTTGTTATTTATCATTATCATGAAATATCTTTCCTAACAATGATATCTGATTAACATCGATTCTATTTCTCACAGAAATGATTTTTTATTACTTATTTTAGTGGCCAAAATTGGTGATGATAATCGAATCATAGAAATGAAACGTTCAGTTATGGAAAACCAAGATTATGTTTATCGTGCTCATAATGAATATGTACTTGCATTACGAAACTATAATTTTATTGATGAACAATATATTCGTAAAGTAAATAATTTACTTGTATATCATCAAGAAACTCAATTATTTCTTAATCAAAGCTGGTTAGTTAATAAGATTCATTTTTATATACAAATATATTTCAGAGCTGATCTCATTGATTGCTCAGTGAAGAGATAAAGAGTTAGCAGAAGAGAGCGAGTATATGAAAAACGATACAAGATCATATATAAGATAGTTCGAATCACAAACATAGAAAAGAAATAAAAAAAACATAAGATAATCGCACATGAAACTAAAGCTCATAATCATGGACATATTTTTCACTAAAAAATCTAATCTGACGTGAATCCAACCACATATTCGTCAACGTGAGGGTTGTCACACGTATACCACTTTTAAGAGACCAATAAGAGACTCACTGATGAATTAGACTCAACGTATCGAAACCTGTTATAAGAACTCCCTCAAAACGCCCACAGTAAAGATACAAACAATGGAGTAAAGTGTATTTACCTGTAATAGAAAAAAAAATGATAGAATAAATGAGCTAGACCATACGAATGTTTTCAATTATAGAAAAATGCTTGATGAAGGGTTTCCTGCTAGAAAATAATAGCGTTGAAAAAAAAATAAGGAAAAATAAAACTATAAAAAGTTTATCAATGTCGTTGAACAGCGATTTGCTGTTTGTAATTACATAAGGGTTTAAGTATGGAAGTTCAAGATCGAATGTTCGGTAAAATATGATTAAGTTGGAAATGTCAATTTGAGATCGGGAAAGCCGATAAACTACTTTTGTAAGATTTAAGTCAATAATCACGTTTTGCAGTAGATTTAAAGAGAATTAGACATTAGTTGACCTTTTTGATGAATCAGAGTCAGTAGAGACTTATTAGTCAGTTTGAACGATGGTAACATTATTTTTTCCGACAAGAAAAATACCGTAATCAATTTGATGTACTTGTATCATTGATAAAACTGTTAAGTTAGTCATTCATTTAGCATGATTTGACAGTTGGTTTTCGAATGATTTAACTGTAGTTTGCATAAAAACAATAAAATTAGATATGAATATTTATAATTGAGAGTCATCGCTGTCTTGTATGTTGGTGAAAGTCATGTGATATTTGTCTTATTTCATGCAGTCTAACATCATTTTGTCTGGTTCAGTTTCTGACTATAGAGTTATTCGTTCTTTTTTGTGGTGTAATTGCATTGAAAACAGTTATGAGTCTTGTCAGACTTTTCAAACATCAATGGATTCGGAAAGTGGGGATCAAATGACGTACTATTTTGTGCCAATGAGTTTTATTAATAATGTTGAACGATTGCTTGAAGTTCGAGTACAACTCCAAAGGAAAAGAGAAAATCTAACACATTAGAATATTAGATATTTTATATCCCACGTAACTGATTGTGAAAGAAAAAAAGAATGAAATCAGATGAAAGTTGTTGCTTTGGCTCATACATTTTGCAAATCAAATGTGTCATGCATTGGCTTATGATTCGAAAGTGCTTTAACCAAATCATTTGCATTCAGCAACAAAAACTTGCACCGAACATTCATTTAGTGTTATAGGACTTACATTGAGTGATAGAAGTGCTTGTCCAACTTCAAAACAACCGAACCCTTCTCATTAACGTAAAGATTTGCACTCTTTTGTACTGAAAGTATGATATTATATTGAAGAACTTGAAAATACAAAGTATACTGATTACTTCTCCGTTAAAATTGCTTTTTCTTGTTCTTTCAAGTTTATTGTATTGTAATGTAAATTAGAAATAATTTAGCTTAAAAATAAATGTAGTATGAAGTTAGTCTCAGACAAATCTATCCAAATAGTTTTGCATTCAATCATACAAATTTTATATTCATGCCAAAATCAGAAAAAGTTTGAATAAAATTCTACTAAATAGTATCTTTGAATGTTTATTAACATGGTGAAGTTGATTAGTTGATCGTTAGTTTAATTGACTATAACAAAGGATAAATGATCCATTGTATGCATTTTCAAATCCGACCTTCTTTCTTATACTATTCCAGAATCGGCCAGTAAATAAGATTAGAACTCTTCGTATGTAGAGTAGGGAAATGCTCTTCCTAGTTTTAGTTAAAACTGTTGTTGTATATGGTTCTGAGCGGTGCCACATGGCTAGTCTTTTTTCTCCAGAAAACTAGATGTAACAAACAGCACTTTTTGAAAAATAGACTAGATAAGACGTATCGTCACGATTCGAAAAAACGACTAGTCTCCTTACCCATAATTTTCCGCCTGAAAAACTTGAACGACACAATAAAACAGAGTTATTGAATTACATATATATTCAAAAAGTCAGAAACGTCATTCGTCCAAGCCAGAAAGTACCGACCTGTTGACAGCTCTAATATATACATATATTTTTGTTTATTTATTTTACTATAAAATAGGCAAAATTTATCGGAAGCTATAGCTAATTATATGAAAATTGATCTAACTAATTCATATGCGAATGTTAATTGTTCAGAACCATTCTATTTTATTGAATCACGTCAGTCGTATGATGAAATAACTAAAATACATTCAAAGTTTGTATTATTTCAATTATTTATTCTTGTTAAACGAAATTATTTGAATAGTATTCCATTGATGACAAAGAACCCCATAGTATTCAATGATACACTTCTTCAAACATCTGGCTTATCGAATCTTAAAGCCAACCAAATTATTATTGATGAATCAGTAATCAATGCTTCAACAATTGGTGCATTAAAAGAAAAGTATGAATGAAAAATGTCTGTTTATTTTCTTTTGTTTTGTTTTTAATTAATCTTATATTTTAGAATTCAAATGTTGACAGATGATCTAAATAAAGATAATAATGAATTAATAAATGCTCTTCGAATTACTGATCAACTAAAATATAAAGATCTGTTCGTAGTTTCAATTATTCTTTTCTTTAATAAATTATTTATTCGATATCTAGTTCATATTATGGACGAAAAACTTTATTTCAACAAAACCAACAAGCAGAAAGTTTACGAATAAAAATAGCATGGCAAGAAAATTTACAAAATGATTTACAAGAAGTATTTGAAGATGCTGGATTAAAAGATGATGATTCATTGCATGCAGAAATACCTACCGGTGTAAGAATAAATAACTGAATTTCGCTAGAAAATTTTTTTTCTCTGTTTGTCTTATTTAGTTATCCGATCGACTTGAAGATCAATCATATTTTCATGGTCTTATGCCACGTGCTCAAAGTGTTAGTTTTTTAAATGAAAAAGGAGATTATTTAATTCGCATAAATAATGAAGAAAAAATTGTTTTATCGATTTTATGGACTGATAAAAATGATCCTAGTAAATTAAAAGATAGCCATTTTCTTATTAATGAAAAAGATAATGTAAGAATAAAATGAATTTTTTTTTCTTTTTACATTTTATTTATACATATGTTATTAGATGTATTCACTCCAAGAGAATGGTATTACTAAACCAACAGTTCCAAAGTTGATTACATTTTATACACGTCACAAATTGGAATTTAGTGACAATGGAACACGGTTAATCCGACCAGTGGAAAGACCGAATTATATTATTAATAATGATGAAATTAAAGTCTTTGATCAGTTAGGCCAAGTAAGATAAAAGATAATAATGTATTGATAATCCAAAAAAAAAATGGCAAGCATGTATGTCTCCAGTCTTGAAATAGGTGTTGTTATTGAAAGTGGGCCATTTATCTTGAGAGAAAACTAATTATGAAGACTATTCATAAATTTTTTCAATATGTTGATTATTGTTTTTTTTTGACCAGGGAAATTTTGGTGAAGTATTTCGTGGTGAATATCGAAATACTCCAGTTGCCGTCAAAATACTTCGTTCAACAATTGCAGATCGAAGTTCAAAAGATCGAGAAATTTTTATTAATGAAGCTCTTTTACTTAAACGATATAAACATAAAAGAATTGTTAATTTATTTGGTATTGCCGCACATCATGAACCTCTGATGATTGTTATGGAACTTGTTGAAAGTATATTGAATATTTAGAGACATTAAAATAGTTTATTTTTATTTTTTTTATAGAAGGAAGTCTGAGGGATTATTTAAAAAATAATGATTTCCGCGTGTCACAATTAATTCAAATATGTACTGAAATAGCAAAAGGAATGGCATATCTAGAAAGTAATCATGTTATTCATCGGTATGTTAATTAAATGAGATTAAATTTGTATTGAAAAAAAAATCTTTTTATTAGAGATTTAGCAGCTCGAAATTGTTTAGTGGACAAAAATGGACGAGTGAAAGTTGCTGATTTCGGACTTTCACGTTGTCTTCATGAAGATGAAGAATATTTTAGTCAAATTAAAGAATTTCCAGTACGTTGGTGGGCTGTTGAAGTTTTATCAAATGGTTTCTTAGATTTTACTATATAGTTTTTGTTGTTTTTATTATTTAGTAATATTTGTTTTTTTAGGACCATATACAAATAAATCAGACGTTTGGTCCTATGGTATAACAATATGGGAAGTATTTTCTAAAGCAGCAGTACCTTATGCTAATATACAACATAATCATTTAGTTATTGATGCTGTAAAACGAGGTAAACATTTTTATTGATTTATTTTTGTAATATCCCTCCCTCACGTAAAAGTAATCTACTGGGCTTTTATTGTGATCAACTTGTTTTGATGTTGTAGCTTTGATGCTATTCGCTTTCAAGCATAGACGTTAAAAGACTCAATGATTTGAGGCTATCAAACAGTCTGTGAATTTTGATAGTTATCGACGAACTAAAAATTGACTTGTATGTTCTTCCGATTCCTTGTTATCAGATAATCTGAGTAACACGTACATTACACTACCTTTCTCATTCACACATTTATCTATCATCAGGACTCCGTGGATCTTAATATTGCACATTTTTATGAAACAGTTAGCGCAAATTTTCTGAGTGCTTCAATAATGGATATCGTAATCATCTCACAGTGACACTTGTTTTTGAATCTGAAAACCTCTCACGTAATTTCAACGGACCATGATCCTCAACTTTATGAGATTTCTAATTTTTTAAGTTATAGATTGGTCCATATGTTAGTCATCTTAATAAAAATATACATCATTGCATATCTAGACTACGCGTAATTCCTTAAAAAATTCGTATAACTAAACATGTTTCCTTCTTGCCAGGTTTTGAATAGCTGTCTCTCATTAATGTCAATACGTACACGTTTGTCTGTTAATAAAAAAGCAGAAAAAACGATGAACTAATCTATTCAATGGTCTACATTGCTATTTTGTGTGGGTTCGGATAGGGTGGGCTTTTATCGTTTGTGGAAAAGAGGATTCATTATTTAAATAATTATTTTGATTTAGGTGAACGTCTTAAACAACCACAAAAATGTCCAGTAAATATTTATGCAATAATGACTAATTGTTGGTTATTGAATTCAAAGGATCGACATAATTTTGAAAAAATTGTTGAACTTTTAAAAAAAGAAAAATCTATTTTACCAAAATTACCATTTTTTGGTTCTTCAAAATAAAATTAATTTGATTAATTTCTTTTTGAAACATGTTTTATTTATTTGTTTGTATAAAAATTCATCTTGAATTTGATTCAATTATTAGAGGCGACAAACGATCTCGTAGTAATACTCTCATTGATATATCTTATTGAAAAGATCTTTTATTTTCGGTCTATTAATCAATACCATACTTTCTTCTCGCTTCAACAAGACATCAAAGCAACTCATATTTAGAGTATGAAATACTGTAGACAATCAAATAAAGATTGGCTAAAAAATCCAAAATACACTTTTACAATATTCAAATAATGCTATAAACACTTCCGAATCGTAATCTGTTTGATATTACAAAATTGACTTTGATGGCAATGGAAAGTAACACCTATTAATAATTTGCATGATTTTAGCTATTCAATCATAGAAAACAACAGTTTAATTTCGCCTTTAGTATAAACTAGCATAAAAGTTCCTGAACTTAGCTATTGCGTTCAGGGGTAGGCAATTTGCGTCACTTTTTGAGTCGAGTTAAGTTATTTTGATTATTGTTGTCTCGTTTTCTGTTTATTATAAAAAAAAATGGTAACAACATGTTTTCATGTTACAAGTTTTTTGTTCGTAGTTTTATACACAAAAACAAAATTAGAGCTATCTGACATAAAATAAAATAGCACAGCGAGTGGCGTAGCTAGGAAATTGAAAGTCATGAGACGTTTTTCAGCTAGATCATTTTGAGTAGCTGGCAGACATGAGCAACTAAAATCAATAGGGTGACCGTTTTTTTTAAAACTTATTACTATTACAAAAACCGATGTTTGTAGAAAAGAAGTTCGTTAGTCTCAATTAAAAGGTGAGCTTGCTCGCTATTTTTGTACTGATACGCCAATGCACTCTTGCACTGCCGCATATTTAAATATACTATGTCAAGCAGCATAAGTAAGCATAAATACAACCATTAGCGAATTTATGTGAAATAACAAGTATTTTGCCAAAAAAATACCATTGAATAGTCATCATTTTAATAATCGATTTAATGGAGAATATAGTTGATCTTTCTGGATGACTTGATTCGATCACTACAGGATAAAATGTATTTAATTGACATTACCGAGGTCTTTGTACATGTCTGTGCATCACAGTTTTTTCACATTGGACTGTTCGTATCATTTCAGAAAATTCGTGGGTGATCACCGAACAGTCCTATCTCTGGCTACGCCACTGGACACAGCTATTATAGTCTTATTCACAAAGTAAGTACAGCAAAAGGGTATAAGTATGTGGATGAAGAGAAGAGCTATGTCCACACCCACATTCTATTTTCACGATATTATATGTATATGATATTGTATATCTATAGATGTACATACATCTCATGACGTCGCCTATATCATCTTTGGTTTATATATTATAGATGTTTTCTTTTTCCGTGTAAATGTTTGTTTTTTCATCTTTAGTTTTTGCTGTACTGTTAATTTTTTCTATCATACAATTCCAAAGATTGAAAATGGTCGCTAAAAAAACCGAAAATTTCCTGTTATATAAATTATTTATTCTACATAAACATCAAACTCATTCTATATACATATATTCATTTTTCAATACATGATATTTTAATATCTCAATAATAGTTACAGTCAAATAGTCATCGACTAACAATGAGTGGTAAATTTCAAATTGGTACTAGTTTTGAAATCTGTGTATATTAATATTATTATAAATTTCAGTTGTTCGAAATTTCTACGAATCGAAAAAAAATCGTGTGCACGGTTTATTGTCTTAGGATTTACTTTCCGTCGATTGTTTGCAAGACGAGAAATTAGCAATCATAGCGGCATTCACTATAATATCAGTACCAAGTTCCAATCCACTTTCAAAGCGTGATATAACACTACATTTTTGATTTAGAAAAAACATGTAAATTCTCTACATCCAATCATTTAATTACATTACGATGGACGCGATAATTGAGTCATAACAGATGAATAGTATATCAAATTGTGGTTATGATATGATCAGGTTCGTATTGATACTTCAATTTTGTTGAAAGCTGCCGGACTAAAATATTTTTAATATTTACCTAAAAATTAAATAGCTTATCACTTTATTTTCTTGTACTTGATCATGTTTTTATTGGAAATTTTTCTCTATTCTAGCATTACAATGATTGCTGCAATAACTACTCATTTCTCTTCTTTCAAATAATCAATGAAAAGTAAATCTTCAGCAACAAGAATTATAACTTTTTGAAGAAAAACAAAAACAATTATAATTGAAAAATAATTAACGAACAGTAAGACATGTAAATGAAAAAATTCTACGAATTTGAACTAATATAAATGTAATTATTCATTCTTTTGAATCCTATTACTCGAGAAATATCTAAAAAATCAAAATCATCGTAGTCAAGAAAATGCTAGTATCAGCGAAATAACATTTCTCATTTTTTTTTATCTATGATATCTGCTATTCTGATAATGATTATTAATTATGTAGAGAAGTAAATCATTAATTTTTGTCAGAAGTTGGCAACCAGAGATGTAGTAGAAGTTAGTAACAATTTGAAATTTACCACGACCTTTAGACTAAATCATATTGTAAACTTAACGATAATTAAACAAAAGAGAATCATCATAATAAAATAAGAATATTTCCTATTCTATCTATGTTAAATCATATTTCTTTAGAAAATGAACCATATTCGATAATTATCTCTAATCGGATTAGACTACACGAATAATGATTTATAATAGTCATGAAATATATTTACATATACATTTGTATGTCGAACTTACATTTAGTTTTTTTTTTGTTAATAATAACATTCTATATATATTAAATTTTTGCTTTTATGTAAACATGTCCAATTGCAATCATTTTGTCATCATAATAAAGGCTTGCTCATAGCAACATAAATGTATTTCGATTGTACAATTGAAATCAATTATTAAACACTAAACGTCTATTTAGAAAAAAAATACGATGACTCAAAGTAAAGATAAACAAGGTAGATTTGTTTAATATAAATTTTTATAAATAATATACTTGTTTTTATTAAGCATCGAAAACAATTTATGATTTTGTACGAGCAAATAATGTTAAAGAACTCGAATTAATAGTTGGTCGAGGAGCAAATGTTAATGAAATTGATACACGTAATGACGATAAATTTACACCTTTGCATTGGGCAGCTCATGCAGGAAGCTTAGAGGTTAGTATTGAGTTTTTGTACCATCATTATTATTATTATATTTTCTTTATCTTGATAAAGTGTATGCATTGGCTTTTATGGCAATCAGCTGATGTAGACGCACAAACACCTAAAGGATGGACACCAATCCATATTGCTTCAATTCGAGGACATGATGCATGTGTACAAGTGAGGTTTTTTCGTTCTTTTTAAACTTTTTCACTTAATTAAAGATAGTTATAGGCTTTAATTAATAATAATGCTAATTTACATACACGTGATCGACGCAATCAAACTTGTCTGCATATGGCTTGTACACATGGAAATTCTTTTGTTGTTCATACTCTTTTACGTGGAGGAGCAGTAAAAATTTTTTTTCTTTTGTGTTCACTTTTTTTTATCTATCGATATTGAATGATTTTAGGATATCAATCATATGGATGTCACTGGATGGACACCAGCTTTTACAGCAGCATATCATGGAAGACTTGGATGTTTACAAATGCTTGTTAAATGGGGTGCAAAATTAGACGATGTTGATAATGAAGGAAATACGGCTGGTGAGAAAGATTTGTTCAATAAATTGTTAGAATAAACTGATATTATTAAAAATAAGCTCCTGAGAGAATCAGGAACTGATAATGAATTGACATATCAAAATTGCCTAATTTGTTATTGATATGCTGTAGATGATGATGAGTTTAGTAATCTCTAACATTTCCAGCTCGGTCTCTTTATTTTTTCAAGACCATTTTTCAAAATGTCGATAAAATTTTTAATCATTTTTGTGAATTTTTTTCAAAGGAATGACTTTCGTCTTTCGAAATCAATGAATTTTTACTTGATGCTCTTGTAATCATAATGAGTAGTGATTTCTACTACTACATGTACCATCTAGAATGTCTCACAATTTTCACTCTTTAGAAAGGTAAAGCACTTTTGATTAAAAATCATCATTTTCCCGAACATTGAGGATATTGTGGGTGGTAGAATAATATAAAATGATCTTCTTCTCACTCACTTACCCTAAAATTTTACTGTGTGATCCTCTACGGAGAAAATTTCGATCTGTATCATCTTGTTCTCGCTATCGGTTTTCTCAAGGACAAATACTGGAAGATAATCTAGGTGGACGAACTTGATATGCCTTATCACCGATAGAAATATCAAGATGTTTAAGACATCGACAAAAACTTCTGAATTATTGTATGCAGAAGGACAATCTCTCAATAGTTATAATTAGAAAAACAAGAAGTCGAAAGTCCGTTTAACAAAAAAAAAAAAAGTTTAAACTCACTATTCTGTGTAACATTAGAAAAGACAGCAAATTCTGATATGTTACTTCATCGTCAATGTCTACATCTCTCAGACACTTATTCTTATGAGAGTTTAGTAAGTGTCTTGGAGACTTTCAAATTAAATTTGTCATGTTCTATTATTTGCTTTCTTAATGGAATACAGTTTAATGTTTTATTAAGTTGAATAGAAACTTCGATATAATCCTATTTGAATATATATAATAATAGATTTCTTTGATTGATCATTCAGCTCATCTAACAGCAATGGAAGGCCATTTACCATGTTTAAAATTTATTGTCTCAGTTCATCGTGATATATCATCAATATTAGGTGCACGAAATGATCATGGTGATACACCAAAATCTTTAGCTGAACAATTTTTTAAAGAAGATTGTTGTAGATATTTGGATGCACTTGAATGGGAACAAGATCATCCAGAACAAGCCGAAAGTAAAATAAAATTTATCTTGAAACACAAAAAACCAAAAATTTCTATTTTAGATCTTACTTTTCCTGCACATGTAGCTGCATATAA